TAATGGGATTAGAATCCAGCTTGAATTATAAAGAAAAGAAACTTTTCTAAATTAAAAGAAAACTTTTAACAAACTTTTAAAAGAAAAGTTTACCAAAATTATACTCCATAAAATTTAACAATCTTTAAAATACATTTTATATAGAAAAGTGTAGCAAATTTAAAAATTCGTAAAATAAATACATTAAAAATGTAATATTTACCATAAAAGGCGAGCTTTAATGAAATAAATACATTATTTAAAAAATAATTAATTTTAATTCTTTCATTATAAATAAAATAATAAATAATATGAGACCATAGTGTCATTATTGATCAAGATTAAGTTTTCATCTATAAGTTTTGCTTGGTGTAAAAAAATCTATAAAATTTGCTCACTTGTTATTTGAAAATGTTTTATTAAAAACTAAATTATGACACATTTACGTTTATCGTCGTCAAAAGGTAGCATCAATGACGAACTAAAATTGTCATTATTTTACAAAAATAATTAATGACGAAATATGATTTCGTCGTAATAACTAAAATCACATGACACAAATTATCGTCATCAATTGTTTAAAAAATGTCATCAAAAGAGTTCCCTCCAGATTTTTGGCATCAAATTTTGGCGCTCAAACTTTAAGTGACGAACTAGACCTTATTGTCATAGTAAATATCAATTAGTGACGACATATAAGAATCAAAGTGACAAACAATAATGTTGTCATAACTAATCATTTTATGGTGACGGATTTGAGTTTTGTAACTATTACTTAATATAACATGACAACTTTTTGTGTGTCACACAATTTTTTGTCATAAAATGTGTGATTTCTTGTAGTGAGAATAAACCAGTTCAGGGGCGGAGCAAAGGGCATTGGATCGGACTGGGTGAGTCAGGGCCTACGTTGGCCCTCCCCTATATCCTCCCATGGACCAGTGAATCAATGGTGCACCCGACCCGAGCCATTTTCATCCATGCGGTGGTGCCCCGCTTTAGAAAATTTCTGGGTCCACCACTGAATGTAACCAAATTGCGTTTCAACGATTGTAGCTAATGTTCCCATAATACTTTTTAGAAAAAAAATTTCTCACGGTTGTCTCACCTTGAGTCTCACAAGAAAGAAATAATTACATGAATATGACCAAAATAAAGATAGTTTACGAAAAATATGACTAGTTACTAGAGTAGTAATGAAATCATAGTAATTCATGTTCAAGTTTTGAATTTAAGTTACTACAACACCACTTTGTAGTAATAAATAGTCATATTTATGTAAATAAATTTTATTTTAGTAATATTCTTGTAAAAAAAACCACAAGAAATCTTTGTTAAACCTTTACAATTTTTTAATAAATTATTTGCACTTTTGGTCCTATGAGTTTTGTGCTAATTCCATCTTTAGTCCACGTTTTTCACTTTATCCACTTTTGATACTTGACTAATGTTTTTTAACTGTTTGTGGTCATTTTCCGGCGATTTAACCATCAAAAACAATGTCGGAAGGACCATATATGGGCGAAAACACAATAGTCATGTATCAAAAGTGGACAAAGTGAAAGATGTAGACTAAATGTGGAATTGACCTAAAACTCGTAGGACTAAAAGTGGAATTAATTCATTTTTATTTATCTAACTTATCTATACATAATACAATTCCTCTAATGCGAATACCATGTTCTCAAAATACGGTCATATTCGTAACTTTTTTTTAACTATTTTATTCTTTTATTAGAATTAAACATCTCCTATTTTGAAAATAATATATTCAAGATATAATAGCCCTAAATAGGACTAAATTAATTCCTAAATGCACAAATAGGACTATGTTATTTATCTTCCCCAAATAGGATTAAAGTATACTCTTACCACAACTTCATAGGATAATCATATTTTAATTTGTAATAAATACAAAAAATATTACAAAATAATTTAACTTATACAAAAATTGGTAAAAATATATAAAATTCTAAAATATATTTTAAAAAATACGAAAATCATAAAAAATTAAAATAAAATAATTTTTAAAAGAAAAATAAAAACTTTAAAAAAAAAAAAAGATAAAACACCTTTAAAAATATTTAAAAAAAAAATGGAGGCCTTTCCCACAGTCTCGGCTACTGCCCAGCAACTTTATCTCTGATCGGCAAAAATAATGTCATTTATGTAAAACTTGTCATTTTTCTCTGAAAATGCCATGAAGATGGCATTTTTACTCTTGAAAATGCCAAAATGTTACTCGTAAATTGCCATCAAGATGGCATTTCTGGCACATATTGTTGGCATTTTTTTCGGGTGATCAGAGCTGGTGGTGCCGGGAGGTTGTTGAGGTTGCGCCATAGGCCTACATATTTTTTTAAATAATTTTTACATTATTTATTTATTTTATTTTTTTTTTATTTTTTTATTTTATAAATTTTTCTTTTTCTAATTTTTTTATTTTTATTAATTTTATATAATTTTTATTTTTTGTTTTTTATTTTTTTTACATTTTTATTATAATGAAAATGTAATACGGGGTACTTTATATTTTATTACTTTATATTTTAATTATGAATGAAATATGAAATGTATTAAAACAAAGAAACGGTAGAATTGGAAAATTAGTCCTATTTAGGGAATTTTTAAGTTATGGTCCTATTTTGGCTAATAAAGTTTCATTTAGTTCTATTTGGGGAATTCTCCCTATATTCAATTGATATATTTATCCGTATTGTGAGAACATCCACAATGCATTAGACTAATGTCTAGTCTAAATATAGTGTCATATCACCAAATTAGACTTGGAATAATTATTTTTACATCCAAATATCCAATGTTCGTAGTCCATGGCTGACTTGGCAAAAACATATTAGAGTGTGAGAAGGGGTAATTTATATGTGTGGAAAGGCATAAGGACTTGCTGACTGACACAAATAATGCTTCTCTTTGGGCAAAAACAGGCAGAAACGTGCGGTAATGCTATAATAATCTTCTTTCTACTGCGTAACTCTGTATATACGTTATGTATACTAGAATTTCTATGATCTTCTTTACACTCCGTATAACATATATTCCCTCCGTCCCGGTGGACTTTGCCAAGTGCAAAGTAGGTGAGAAATAAGAATAGTAAAAATTGTGTGGTTGATATTTGTGCAGAGGAGAGAGAAATGTGCAAAATCACAAATTAGTTGTTTTAATAAGAAAGTGACAAAGTTTTTTGGGACAACCGAAAAGAGGAAGTTGGCAAAATTGGGACAGAGGGGTATGTACTATACACTATCGTATATATATGTATATAAGCGGCGGCCATGGGAATGAGAAAATTTCTTGTTCTCTTCTTGATGGCATGAAAAGCAATAAAATATTGAATAAAAGTAAAATACGAAAAATTATATAAAAATTTTATATAAAAGAAGTACTAGTATTATACTCCGTATATACGGAGTATTTCGTGTATGGTGTAAATTATTGCCGAAGTGGCTTATTAAGTTTACGGAATGATTGACCCAACTTTTGTAAAAAGTAAAAACTTAGGGCGGATCCATCTATTAATAAATTAATTCCGCATGGATACCAAACTTCAGTCTTGGAACTTTTTGCATTGGAGACTGCATTTATATGTTAATGTATATTTCCTTCACTATATATAACATGTGAATAGAAAGCCATTTGATAATTTGACAGTTGACATAATATATTTGGACCAGACATCTTAGTATTGGGGATGCTCTAAGTGATTCACTTTTCTAAATTTATTTCATAAATTTCAAAAGTTGAGTAGGGATGTTTTACTTGGACTGTAATCTGTCCCAAATCAGATCAGACCAGATGAGACCAGACTTGGATAGTTATAAAAATACAAAGAAACCAGATCAGATCAGATCAGACCGAATCAGACCAGCAAATTACAATCCAAGTAAAAACATCATAGCTTCCAACTAAAATATTATCAACCTCTACTTACTCCACTGGCCAATGGACTAAAATTGGGTCAGGTTGTTAACCGAATTTGTCGTAATTAATGACTTAGCTTCATTTTTTTAATCATCAAATCCAACAAATATATTAAATTCAAAATAACGTTCGTCACATGGTTGATAATACAATCAAAGAAAAAGAAGTAAACAAAGCAATAAAAAGCCTTATGTCTGTCGTCCGCCCTCGAACCAGGCTTAGAATATATCACCTCTTTAAAAGCAATAATATTCGTTGATCCTGTAATGGGCTTAACTAAGCCAATGACTAGCAAACCAGACTTCTCATCACCTGACTTAAATTCTAGAATCTCTCTGCTAGGAAATAAGAACACGTCCAAAACAACATGCAATTCGAAAGAAAAACACCTGACTTAAATTCTAGAATCTCTCTGCTAGGAAATAAGAACACGTCCAAAACAACATGCAATTCGAAAGAAAAACACCTGACTTAAATTCTAGAATCTCTCTGCTATGAAATAAGAACACGTCCAAAACAACATGCAATTCAAAAGAAAAACACAAACAGAATAAACCAGAACTAAAACAGAGTTCACGAGTTTTAGTTTCAAACATTTGTACGTATTGTTTAAAAATATTACTATGAATTTTAATAGATTTTAATCATTATGTTCATATTATTGTCGCTTTTAAAACTTTTGTATAATGTTTTTAGTATATAAATATTGTCCGGGCTATGCCCCTAGTAGAGAGAGACGAGAGAGTCGCTTGAAACACACCATCTAATCCCATCTATAATACGGAGTACGTACGTTTATCTGTAATCGAAGCTAGCTATAACACGTGAAGTTTAATGACTTAGCTTCATTCTTCCTAAATGAAGCTTTAAAATACTACGTAGTTCACAACTTCACATCATTAAATATAGTTCCGTACACTACACAAATTTAGGTCAAAAGATAATTTGGCTTTTTTGACAATAATAGATAATTTCTCTTTAAAATTTTGTTTGCATTGGTTCCACTTCCACTTCACCGCCTCGGCTTTATATATAACACCCCTCCCACCTGCCATTCTATCTGATCACAGCTCCCTCCAAACCAACCAACAAGAGAATCTGATCGAAGCAAATACTTCTCTCAAACCAAACAGACCCTTAAAGAACCAATTTTTAATTCCGCCGGAAATTCTCCATCTCCGATGGCTAAGAAGAAGATCATGAAGCTCCATATACTCTCTTCCGTTTTCAACGAGAACAGAGAAAGAAAAGAGAATCTCTACTCTTGGCAATGGTATTCCTGCCGCGCCAACCCAAAGACTCTGTCTTTTCGCTCCAACGCCGCCGTCTCCGGCGGAGACGCCATGTTCCAGACGGTCAACTCCGTCTACCTCGACCCCTCCAACAGCACCTTGGAATCCTTCAGCTTCTCGGCGGAGTCCGACGACGAACAGATCATAATCACCGGAGTGAGGTCGGACCGTCTGATCTTCGACCGCGGCGGCATCAGCTCCTCCATAGCCAAGCTGGAACCCCTGCCGGAAAATCAAGAAAATGTTGAAAAACAGAGGGAAGAGGAGGAAGATGCGGGGGAAGTGGGTTTTCCGTTCGAAGAGAGTGTGATGGTATCCATCGATTCCGACGACCCATACCTCGACTTCAAGAAATCAATGGCGGAAATGGTGGAGAGCAGAGGGATCAACGATTGGGATTCATTGCAGGAGCTTCTGGGATGGTATTGGAAGATGAATTCGCCGATGAACCATGGGGTTATAGTCAGAGCATTTATGGATTTGCTCGTCGGACTGATCTTTCCCCCTTCATGTTCTTCTCCCTGCCGCTCCTCTAATGCTGTAAGAACATCATATTCATCGGCTGTTTCTCTCCTCTCTTCTCCAGCAAATTCTCCTCTGTCCAGCAAATTTTCGGTAGATCTATCTCATGGAGGTTGAGGCCGAACAACGATGCATGATTCTCTTTAAGTCAATGTTTGTTCTAGGCTACTATGTGGAATTCAGAAATATGATTACAAAAATAAGAGAAGCAAATGCTTCGTACAAGGAAGAAGAAGAATGAACTTAAGATTTTCATTATTGCATTATTGAAAATGAACGTACGTACATTGCCATATTTATAAATTAAACCGGATACAAGGAATAAAATATCTCCGACTAGTCTAACAAAACTAAATAATTAAGAAGCTTCTAGCAACTACTCCAATCTTCCATCTCCACATATGCATGTGTTAGCATGCATGGTATGCATGAAGAAGCGGATCACGTTATAGATGTGTTATCTGCATGTGCATCAGTGCATGTCTATTATGTGCCAAGACCCCCTCAAGATGGAGAATACAAATTTTGTACACTCATCTTGGATAGCAAAAAATGAAATGTAGTAGCACGGCCTAGAACTCTAGAAGTTTAGTAAATAAGTCTGCCAATTAATGTGTAGTGGGAACGTATAGAGCACGAATAATGCCAGACCCAATCCAATCTCTAACAAAGTGACAATCAATTTGAACATGCTTGGTTCATTCGTGATGAATAGGATTAGCTGACAGAGGTATAGCTGATTTGCTATCACAAAAAATAGTGGTAGTGGATACAAGTAGCTTGAAATCATTGAAAAGTTGTAAAAGTCAAGTACTAATGTGTACTACTGTGTTCTGTTTCTTGGATTTCCAGGAAATAAGGGAGATGTCTAGGAACATGCAATACCCAGAAATATTTGGATTCCCCGTGGATCAGAATATATATCATCGCCATTTCGCCCGATGCGGTTGCGCTGCGGACCACAACCGCATTAAGCATTCTTTATAATAGAATAAGTGTTTATTATTGTGACTTTACTTAAGATCTCAGCTTTGATGCACAAAATTAAATTCATTTATATTAACTCTTTTGTCCACTAGTTGGAGTCTATTTTGAGTATTGAGTTGAAGTGTCGTTAGCCAATGTTAGTGCAGATTCTATTGCGTTTTTTCCATGTGTTTAAAAAACCTTTAAATTTAATGTGTATTATTTTGTTCATTTGATTGGACTTCAACTTGAATTCTTATTACATTTGATTGGAGCAGTTTTGACATTTTCATTGAGAATATTTGAAATTTAATTTAGAAAGTGAATGGTGTTGGTCATTTTTACAATCCCTCGAAAAGTCTACTTTTCGATCAAAAGGTCTTTAATGTGGATAAATTTATCAGCTATATGTCCGCAAGTGAGTAAAGTAACATGACTAATACCAAACACATCCAAAAGTTAGAGGACTAAAATAATACATCTCCTTGTTTTTTCATGTCCCAAAATTCTTTTCAATTTATTTTTCATAATTGATTAATCGAAGTACAATATTTCATTTTATTCTTTAATTTTAAGTATCGGTTTGTAATCAATTTATTCTCTAATTTGATAGTCTATTTATAACCACTTTAGATATGTGTTCATTTGTGTTTCAATGGAATTCTAACATAATTTGTAGATATATAATTTTTGTAAAATAAATTGAGAAGAATTAACTTAATGAGGTAAACTATGATTTTAATGTTAATTTTAACATTTATTGTTCGAAGGCAATAAGAGAGTGACAAATCTTCATTTTGTAACTCAAGTATATTGTTGAGATTTATTCCTCCAAGTCCAAAGGTCCAACATGTTCCTTTGGTTGTCGTTGGAATATTAAGGTTAAGACGAATAAGGTGTGAATAATGGTCAATAAGCACATACAATTAACCAACTGTATTCAAGTAAATATACTGATTCCAAGGAAATGACCGAACGGGATCTCCGGGAATAGAAGGCTAATACAAGAGCTAATCAAATATATTGCTGAGAGTACAAATCTGCTAACCACTTACCACGGAATAAATGTTGGTATTTATACTATGAATGAGTAGTTGAGGGGAGTGACATGGCCGACCCTGAGTGGATGATCCCTCAACCATAAAATCCTCTATATCCCTTGCATTAAATGTGTTTCCCGCCAATAATGAGGTTTCCCACCAATCCTCTTGGGCTGATCCTCCATGGGTAGCTCCCCATGATGGGGTGACAACTCAAGTATGGTGTTCATGTCGTTCAGCAAAATCCATACGGGAGGGAACGAGCAGTACTTTCTGTACATGCTTGTAGTATCTACTGGACTCCGCCGAACCTGGGCTTCCAAGGGATAATTGAGCCTGTACCCAGGCCGGGACCCAATATCCCAATGATGGGGTGACAACTCAAGTTTGGTGTTCGTGTCATTTGCCAAAATCTGTACGGCAGGGATCAAGAGTTACTTTCTGTACGTGCCTGTTATATCTACTGGACTCCGCCAAACTTGGGCTTCCAAGGGATACTTAATTGGGCCTGTACCCGAGCCGGGACCCAATATCCCAATGATGGGGTGACAACTCAAGTGTGGTATTCGTGTCATCGTTCGACAAAAGTTGTATGGCAGGGATCGAGCGGTACATTCCGTACATGCCTATTGTATATACTGGACTCCGCCGAACCTGGGCTTCTAAGGGATGCTTGGGCCTGTACCCGGGTCGGGACCCAATATCCCAACACAAGTCCCCTACTTCTGATGTTCCGAGAGTGCGCGGGACATAAGGAAGTAGAAACTTTTGCCTCCTTATGTCGTTCGGGGTTGACAATATGAGTTCTCCCCAGATTCAATGTCGTACGGGACGGCCGTTAGAGATGTTTTTCGCAGAATCCCGATGCTAGGATTTGATGGATTTTGCGGCTGTTGGTTGGCTTTTCTAGGCAGAAATCATGATTACCTGACCTTTCCCCTCCGTACAACACGTTTCCTTGGAGACTCTCCTCAGTACGTGTCTTCCTGTGAATGGCCGGTGAAACGACGTTCTTGGCCTATAAGTAGAGGCCTTGGGTCGGTGGTTCTGGGTTTCTGAACTTTTCTTCCTTTCTCTAGCTTGCTTTTGCTTCTCTCTAAAAAATCCTAGCTCGATTTTCCACCATAGGTATTTCGTGGGCCTTCGTCTGCCTCTTCTTCCTTTCTGATGCTCCATTCTCTGTTCAATACTATGTTCGAAAGCTCGTCCTCGAGTTTCACTAGTTCACCCGGTTCAACTCGGTCGTTTATAAGACGGGCTCTAGCACTGTTGGAAACGTTGAGGCGGAGACCGCTGATTCCGATTCTGATAATGGATCCTCTTATGATGCCAATTCCGACGATGATATGGTTGTCGCTAAGGCCAGTTACCCGGACGATGTTCCCCCTCATAAACTCGAGCTTAAGTCTATAAGAAACAAAGGAAGAAGTAGTCTCTGAAGATCAACGCTCGCATCTCTTGCCTCCTTCCAGGCCCGACCGACTTTCACATCCACGCCGGGGTTCACCCCCTGCGCCACCGCCCCGGGATGGTGGTGGTTCATTATGATTCTGTACTGGCCGGGTTGCAGTTGTCGTTACACCCCTTTTTGTGGCCGTCTTGAACCAGTACGAAATAGTTCTCGGTCAGATAATGCCGAATTCTTATCGGGTTACGGCGGCATTCATCGGTACCGATGTGGTGCCGATGTGGTGCCCGACCTGGACCTTTTCCACTAATTCTTCAAAGTGGCCCCTCAATAAACCGAATGCTATTTGGGAGTGAGCGCCCAAAGGTGCTCATATTATTATAAGCTACTCTATTATTATAAGCCCCCTTCTTCAAAAAAAACCCAGCACTTATATCGGTATATATACACGTATTAGACATATTGCATATAATAATATCATAGGGAATATATGAATAACGATAACGCATTCACGCATGTATATGTATGTATGTATAGTATAGTGAGTGCCTATACCGTACACCCGGCTGTACGGTGCAAATCGTACAGCCGGTGGCAATTTTGTAAATTTAGTGAAGACCATGGTTTCTGCTAGATGAGTATTAGTGAAATGTTAATGAGCAATAGTCCAATTGTAATGAGTACTAATAATCTAGTAATGAGCACGGTGTCATTACATGAAAGCTGATATCACAAATAAAAAACGGTGGCATTTTTGTAATTTCACTGAAAATCGCGATTTTGATTAGATGAGCATTAATACATTTTTAATGAGCATCAGACATATTCTACTGAGTATTAAGAATCGAACAATGAATATTGTGATATCAACTTCATATATTGTAATCCACTTTTTTCTTATTTTTTTCTTTTATAAAAATTCATTAAATTGTATGTATAGTAAACTTCTATGAACTTCCATATGTGAATATAATGTAATATGATACTCTTTTAAATATGTATTGGAAGAACATTTTAACATGAGCATAATACGAGTACTGCATGAGCATGTGTAACTTACAAAAAGAGTATTAATATGAAAATCATATTTTTTTAGTTGAGTATCAAGACATTTGCTTTGAGTATCAAACCCTCTTTATTGAATCTAATAGTACACCAATATCAAATGAGCATACTCACTTTACGAATGAGTATCAAAAAATTCAAAAGGCTCATTCAAAATGAGCATATATAGCTTACGAAATGAGTAGTGAAAAAATTTAAATGAGCATTACACCAATATGCATGGATATCACATTTTGAAATGAGCATTACACAAATCTAAATGAGTATACATAAATTATGAATAATAACTTATAAAAAATCTTAAAGAAAAAATAAAGAAAAGAAATAACTAAAACAGGAAAACAACAAAAAGTGAAAAGCAAGAAACGATTAAATGAAAAGCCACCGAAAAGTGAAAAGCAAAGAAACGATTAAATGAAAGTGAAAAGCAACGAAAAGAAGAGGAAACCAAAAAGAAAAGAAAACGGAGTAAAGCCATAGTGCGTGAGAGGTACTCCGTATTTCCCAAGCTTGGCGCTGGTAGTCCGTAGCAGCCATCAGCGAAAAAGAAAAAAATCGGCGGACGAGCAGTGGGGAAAAGAAAAGCAGCAGCATCCATTAACCTAACCTTTACCACTGAACTTAGATTTAATTACAAAACAACCCGGCTGTACCATGCCCTAGGTACAGCCGGCTGTACGGTATATATTACGATAGTGTATGGGTGCAAGTTCATGCTGACTGTGTATATATATGTCTTTCCAGGAACTTGCTTAATTGTTTAAATCTGAAATTAAATACAATGAAATAAGCATTTTACGGACAATCATGTACC